AGTGACTAGGGATGGTGGGGAGGACAATGGTTGGTTATGGAGTGGGTATGGGGGTGGTTGCTTGTGTCAAACCTTATGGAAGAGTCAACACTCCACCACAAAATCTTGTTTAATGGATTTTATTCTTAAATAAGGATTTCCTTAAAAATATGCTGATTTATGAATATTTGGAACCTTATATGTCAAAATATAAGTTTGGGTGAAAATACCACGTTAAAATAATTAAAAGTGAGCTTAAAACGGAGTCGGGGTCGAAAACCGGGAAATATGGTGGAGAATCTGAAGTCTGGCGAGGCTTCAGCCTCAACAGTCTAAAATCGGAGTGGCTTGGTCGCATGGCTGCAGTCCGTGGAGAAGGGGACTGCAGTCCGAAGGCGAGGCTCGGATGTGGGGCTTGGTTCCGGGTTCGGTGGCTGCGGCTACTCGAGGGGGCCTTGGTCTCGGTTCTTGTGGCCTCGGCTCTAAGAGGACTTGGCCCCTATAGAGAGGCTTCGGCCCTAAGGGGCTATTTTCCAAGATATCTCCCCTTTTTGAGTGGTTTTTGACTCGGTTAAGGGTCGGGATGACCCGAATGTTTTCAAAAAGTTACGGGTACTTTTGAGAGAGATTTCGGAGAGATTTTAAATAGAGAGAGGTAGAGTGAAAGAGATTTAGAGAGGTTCCATTTATGAACTTTTTTTTAGTGTCCAGCTTCGCAACACAAGGTTCGTAAACCCCGTTAAGCCATATTTTAATGTCCTACACACTCCCGATGAGTGTGCAATAGTGTTTTATCGCTTTGGTTCATTGTTTAGCACTATTAAGGCTAAGGAAATTCAAACATACGAATTTTCCAAATGATGTTTTCTCATTAGAATAGTGAATTGTACAGTGATCACATAATGTAAACCCTAATATGCACGGGTTAATTGAGTTGTCCAGATTGACTTGTTGACTTTATTTGACTTTGACTTGACCGAAATTTAACGATTGTCACATCATCCCCCTGTTAGAAGGAATTTCGTCCCGAAATTAGTGTTTTAACTGGGACTTCAAGAATTTTGGGAAAAGAGGTGTGTACTTTTCGGAGTACAAGAAATTAATATGGCAGGGACCAATCCACCTTATGTTAAGTGTCGACCTTGCAATTTCTTAGTGTAATTAGAGCTAAGTCGATTTAGAGGAGTGGTTGTTCTAGAATGATAGTGTATTCTGGGTACGCTTCATACTCTTTGTTTTATTCTCGTAATTACTACTATGAATGTTTAATGTTGTAGTTAGTGAGTACTAGCCACACGAGTGCTCCGACCACTTTTTATGATGAAATTTGTAGCACAAGTCATACCAGTTCGTTTATAATCTCTTGGTGTAAACTAGTCGTATATCATTAAGATTGCAAGGGCAGTCGAATGAGTGACTCCGCCTTAAGCCCACAACCAACCAAGGAACAGGAAGTAAGGCGAAATTATACATTCTAAGTCCATAGAATCTTAATGATATACGGCCATAACATTTACACCAGCCATCGTAGATTCACTAGTAAAAAAACCCTATGTTTTTATATATACGTGATAAGACTTATTCAGGTTCATCGTGTTCGCGAGATTTATGGTTGATAAACCCTAAATGGACCCTAGTTAGTAAAATTTAAATCCTACATGTGGTGGTCAGGAGCGCGTACCATTATTCACGGGTGATTCTGGGGAAGTTTCTCTTGTGGTGATCATAAGTACCCTTCCACCGTTACCAGCATTCCTTATCCTTGGTCAGTCTCTCTTAAAGTGTCCCGTTTCACCACACTTGTAACAAGTTGGGCTTGCTCCAGCACCGAGGAACTGGTTTATGGGTCGTATTGGTGCCTTACAGAAACGGGTAGTGTGTCCCTTCCTGTTGCAATTCATGCAATGCAATTCCCTGCAAGCCCCAGTGTGATGGAAGCTACACTTGTTACATTTCGGAAGGGTTCCGACATATCGATTTATGGGTGTGGGAGTGGCACGGGTGGTAGCAGCATGAACAACGATGATCTGTTGCTTATTGGTGGGGTCTTGGGCCGATCAATTCTTCTCGTTGTCCCAAGACTTCCTTTTATTATTTCCTTGGCCATCTAGCTCAGGGGTGGTTGTCATAGTGCCATGGTTGGCCTTATGGTCGATGAGTTGTTGTGCCAATTCCTTGGCACTGCCAAAGGTATTTGGTCTTGAAGCCAACACGCTATCTTGAATTTGGGGAGACAATTCCCAGAGGTATCGTTCCACCTTCCTTTCCTCAGGAGTGACCATCGCGGGACAAAGGAGTGCTAGATCATAGAATCAGTCGGTGTAAGTTGCAAGGTCCGAGCCTGTCATCTTGAGATTCCACAATTCTTGCTCTAGTTTTTGTACTTCGCCCCTTCGGCACTACTCTTTTAGCATCAGCGTCTTTAAGTCCTCCCAGCTTAACGATTTAGCCACTGCAAACGTCAATGACTTAACGTATAGTGAGAAGACTCACCTCGGTATCTCGGATAATCTTGCACTCGAATGCACTGGTCTAGCCCTCGCCTAAACACATAACAATACTCTCAAATAAATAACGACTCTCAAAGGCTATATTAAAACCACTCTATGATTTCCATAGAAGGGTAAAAGACCATTTTACCCCTCTCTGACCTAAAAGTCCAAAGGTTGACCAAAACCCTACAAGTCAACGAAAGTCAACAGGAGGCAGTACGCGGCGTGTACCTTCTCTGTACGCGGGGCGTACGCCGACAAACCACAATCGGGGTCTCAACCCCTTACGCTGCGCGTACTGAGAGTTACGCCCAACGTAAGTCTCAGTTTCAACCATTCCATGGATTTTGGTCTTAAACGGTTAAGTTACTCCTTCAAATTCCATATTTGGCTCTCCTTAAGCCTCTTATCCTATAAAGTCAGAACCTTTAAGCCTTTACATGGTTGTAAAGGTCCCTAAACCCTCTAACACCTTTCCTTTTTCCTCCAAAGGTCTAGATCTCATGCATGGCTCAATATTTACGTCCAATATTACATTTTTATGAACATACAACTCTTATAGATTGAAATATGATAGATCTAGGCCAATGGAGACCATTTGCTCATAAAGTCTCCATCTTGGGACCAAAAACCCTAGAAATTGGTCCAAGAATCACACAACACAAATAACAAGGCAAGTTTTGAGCTTTTTACCTTAAGAAGAAGCTCCAACCTCTGAAAAGCTTGGATCTACTCTTTCCCACAGACTTCTAGCTTCCAAAATGGCCTCTTCTTCTCTTCCACCACCTTGAAAGGACACTTAGAAGCTTAGAACACCAACACACTAGCTAGAAACGAAGGAGGACTCTCTATTAGGGTCTCATTCTCTGGAATGGAGGCTGAGGTCAAGGCCATTGCATTCCTTTTATAGTGCTCAAGCCCTAAATTAAGGTTTACACCTGGGCTCGCTACGCCCAGCGTACCCAAACGAGTCTGCGTCCAAATTAAGCGCGCGAGTACGCGCAACATACTCCTCTGTACGCCCAGCGTACTCACTAGCCTAACTTTTTTACTTAAGGGACTTAACTTGACAACTTGGGAAAAGGAGAAGAGTTAAATAGCTTTACCTAAATTTCGGGATGTTACATATATAACATATCTACTAATTTAAATTAAATTGTCAGTGTGAGACTAACCTATTTGGTAGAAGTTTTGTCTTTTAGATTGGAGGTATTAAATTCTAACCTAGACGTTGAACTATTATGTGATACTAACTTCTAACCATCAACCCTACTTAAAAAAAAAAAAAAAAGAAGATAAATTATTATGACTATTTAGAATTCTTTGATTAAAACTTATATAAAGTAAATAAATAACCAATCAAATAAAAAGAAGTAAAAAATTAGAGATGTCATGCCCTCTTGTATACCTTTCACACTAAAGTGGATTCGCCTTTGCAAATATCTTCTTATATATTCCTTTTTATTTCTTTATTTTACTTTGTTTTTATACATTAATATATTTGTAATTTTCAGATTTTTTACGTTCATTTTAATAAATATAAGGGTAAATTACACGAATGGTCCCTATGGTTTAGGGTAATCTGCATGGATGGTTCATAATAATTATTTTTAACTCGGACAGCCCTTATTATATGTTTTTGTTGCACGTTTAGTCCCTACCACTCTATCTTGCCATTTTTAATATACATTTTAAATATTTTTATTATAATTCCTGTCATTATTAAAAAAAGTTAATAATTAAAAAAGGGACCCACACCTTTATCCCTCCCCTTTACCATTTTACATTCATCTCTGGTAAAACTTAAAACCCATCACTTGCCACTTCCATGTTTTTCAACTACGCGCGATCAGAAAAAGGGATGGCTGGAATCACCATTAACTCCCCTCCTTTCGATACCCTCTATTTGTCATTCGGTACCGACCAACACCCACCGATTGATTTTGAAAATGAGAAATCAATTACCAGATATCTTTTTGCAGCCTTGTCAGAGAAGACAAAGTGCTTCGTTCGAAATCAGGAGTTTATGACAAACCTAAAATCATTTTCTTGTCGGAAATATCGTCTGAAAATGAAGGCTACATAACACACACAAACACATCAAGGGTTTTCGATACCCACCTACAAGTTTGTTTCTCTGTGGGTATGAGACCCACCCTCCGTCTCTTTCATCTTTCTCTCACCGATCACCTCTGGACCATCAACTTGAAGCATCATAAATTATGCAATCGATCTTTATGATGTTTTTGAAAACATATTTTATAAATAGCTTTGATATTGGGTTCAGATTCGTTTTAGGTCTATTAAATTTCATTTTGGATGACTGTGATTTTGGTTTTAGGTTGGGTTTTATGGTTGATTTGGTTAGCTTTGGTTTTGGTTGCAGGTTTTGGTGGTGGTTGCCAGAATAACCGTTGGTAGGTGCTGATTTTGATTGGAGAGGTTGTCGGTGTTGACTAGAGTGGATGTTGGGGTTTTTTGCGGGTAAGGAAGGAAATAAATAAGGTTGTGGACACAGAAAAGAAGGAGATGAAGGGTTGCCGGCGACTGTGGGGTTTTCCAACAAGCACGGGTATGGAAAAGAGATGTGACTCTTCTTTTAGTGTTCCATGGATGAATAAAAACGTAGAAGAGATGAAGAAAGGGTAAAAGGGTTTGATTAGATTGTGGATTGATTAATGATGGGTGACCTAGTGGGACCCATGTGTATATTAAACAATTTATTTAACTAATAACTAATTTAAAAAATATAAAATTAATTGGAAAAGAAATATCGAGGGGCAATAAAATCCTTTTAAGTCTGATAGGGATCAAACATGCAATAAAAATATATAATAGGAACGGACCGAATTAAGAAAAGAAATTAAAAACCAAAGGTCCGCATGTATCATTTCTATAAATATAAAGATGTAAACCAAACCCAAAATGGCCCATTCAAAACAAACGCTAGATGGCCCACTTAATCAATTTGTAGGAAACCAAACCCAAATGACTCATTTTAAACAAAACACCACGGAGGCCCATTCAAAAAAAAAAAAAAACAAAGAAAAAACATCGAAAAATCCAACAAGTCGAATTCGAACCTCGACAGTCGACTCAAACCTGTTTTTCCCCAAACCATATGGAGAAAAAGCCCTAGTTGGCTCAATCTTCCGGGTCGATTCTCCTCTTCTGAGAAATTTCACCTTGCTCTCTTAGGTACATATTGTAGTCTTGTTTTACGTTAGTATTCGTTGGAATTGTTCAAGTTAAATGCTTGAAATTTGACACAGCTTCAATGTACGTTTTGGGAATTTTTTATGATTTCCGAATTTTGTTTAGGTATAGCATGGTTTTAGTGAAGGAATGTTGTGGTTTGAGCTTGATAAAGCAGTTTGCACTGTGCTATATACTATATATCATCGTGTAATTATAGGATTTAGTGATATATGTTTTTGTATTGGCTGATCTTAAGGATTTCGAGAGCTAAAAACACGTAATTGTAGTTCGTTGAAAGAGATACGAAGTTGAACTGGTTACTTGAAACATAAATCAATGCCCTTTAGTTTGTTTGTAGAACATTTGGATTTCTTGATTTAGATCATGTTTTTTTTTTCTTGAAGCTAGATGCAATTTGATACAAGAGATAATATAATTGGATGCTTTGTGAAGCTTATCATTTTGAGGGAAGAACTCGACTTGAAAATAGAAAAATAAGAAAAAGAGAAGTATTTGTTTGATTTTGGGCTGATGTTATTTCTATGATTTCTTTGTGCCTAAAGCAAAAGAGTAAATCACTTTCAGTTTTCAAGTTGTAAACTTAGATACTAATTACTAAATACAAACATTTGTTTTTTCTTTTATAATCAAACAACTTCCCTTTATATATATACATTGTTCTTTTCTTTGAAGTTTGAACCCAATCCTTTAGTATAGTCTCCTCTTTGTGGTTGTTTGACTAAAATACCCTTTAGTAATCAGTTTCATTGCAAGATCAAACAAAGTCAAACCAAAAAGTCAACATCTTATTCATCTATTTCTGTAATAGGTCACTTATTCATCTAGCTCTAAGCATGTAACCCTTTGTAGGTGATTATGTTAGTGTTTGATTTTTATTTGTTTAATCATTTAATGTTAACATCTTATATATATATATATATATATATATATATATATATATATATATTTCTTGATTTCATCTTTGTTCAACAGTGGATTTTAAGCAATATGGAAGATAACATTCGCTCATTCAAAAGACCCCATAACCCCATTTTTGAGAATAATATCAATAAAAGAGGCAAATTTAGTGATCAATTTTCAGAAACCTCTAATTCTTCAGAAACACTCTACCGAATACTATGCCACTCTAGAAAAATTGGTAGTGTAATTGGAAAAGGTGGAGTGATAATCAAGGGCTTACGTGAAGAAACTCAAGCTAAAATCACAATTGACGATTCTATCCCTGGATCAGAAGAAAGAGTAGTCATAATACACAGTCCTTCAACAAAAAAGCCAGTAACACATAATGATATGAATCTCCAGTGTGCTGCACAAGATGCTTTGTTAAAAGTTCATGATAAGATTCTTGAAGAAGATATAAATAATAATGAAAAATTGGTCACTACACGAATTCTTGTTCCAAATAATATGGTGGGGTGTTTATTGGGGAAAAAAGGAGATGTTATTCAGAGATTGAGAAGTGAAACTCGTGCAAATATACGTATTTTGCCTTCGGATCAGCTTCCTGTTTGTGCTTTGAGTAGTGATGAATTGGTTCAGGTAATGATTTGTGTTCTTATACTAAAATTACCAAAATACCCTTATGGAGTTTTATGTGGCTTAACCATTAATGCTTTATCTTTTTTGTTCAAACCATATAAGTTTCAGACATTTTTTGTATATTAATACTTCCTGTTTGTGCTTTGAGTAGTGATGAATTGGTTCAGGTAATGATTTGTGTTCTTATGCTAAAATTACCAAAATACCCGTATGGAGTTTTATGTGGTTTAACCATTAATAGTTTTATCTTTTTTTGTTCAAACCATGTAAGTGTCAGACATTTTTCTATATTAATACTTCCTGTTTGTGCTTTGAGTAGTGATGCATTGGTTCAGGTAATGATTTGTGTTCTTATGCTAAAATTACCAAAATACCCGTATGGACATTTTTCTATATTAACCATCTTGATCTGTTAATTATATCATATCAAAATGGTTAAATTGGAAACTGTCTAAAACTTTTATGGTTTGATTGAAAAAAAATCAAGTATAAGTGGTTAAGCTGCAAATATTTTGATAGACTTGTTACCGATTTTTATTTAGCAATTAAGACAAGGGTTAATTGGTAAAAACACTTTGTTGATAGTCAATTTCACAAATGATGGATTTTTTTATAGTCAAATTTGTTTAATCTTATCTGTCTATTGTATTAATATTCACATTACAAAAAACTGATACAGATTTAAGGGAAGGAAACTATGGTGTTCGTGATTAGAAATTTAGAACTCAATTTCTTTGAAATCCATACAATTAATTCAAACAAAGGATTAATTTGGTAATTAAATAATTGTATTTACTTTTTCATGTAAAATATATTTAATATTTATTTAAATATAATCACAGATATCAGCTAAACCAGCTATTGTAAAAAGGGCTCTCTATGAAATTTCTACCTTGTTACATCATCATCCACGCAAGGACAACTTCATTCCTTCCGGGCCCCACGGATTTCATCCACCTGGACCTCAAATTACAAATCTACCCCCGCCTGCCAGGTGGCGGGGGGATTATGACAGTGACCACTCAAGATTTGGTGATACTCCTGCTGAGTTTTCAATGAAAATTCTTAGTTCCACAGCAAAAATCGGAGGGGTGATTGGTAAAGGTGGCTCAAATATCAGACAAATTCAACAAGAAACTGGAACTGATATACATGTTGATGATGTGGCAGCTGACTCAGATGAACGTGTGATTTGTGTGTCATCGTTTGAGGTCAGTGGTTTTTGTAAAGAGATCATTTTGGCTCTTGTGGTATATGGTTCTTTTCAGTTTTGGTCAAAGGGTAAAATGGTCGTTTAAAAACGAGCAAGTTACATTTTGGTTCCTTAGTTTTTTTAAAAAAGTTATAGTATTGGTCCTAAATAGTTTTCTCTTGCAGTTTTGGTTTCTATTTTTAAATTTTGTAACAAACTGCTACCCGAGTTTTTTTAAAAAATGGTTCTTTGATAGTTTCTTCTTGCAGTTTTGGTGCCTATAGGGACGAAAGTTGCAAGAGAAAACTATTTGGGACCAAAACTGAAAATTTTGAACAAATTCAGGGACCAAAAATGTGAATCACTCTAAAAGGTTAACAAGTGAGTATAGCTAGATATAACGACCAGGGACCAGAATTGAAAATTTTGGACAAATCTGGGACCAAAATATAAATTACTGTAGAATAAGTTAACAAGTGAGTAGTTAGATTTAAAGACCAGGGAGCAAAATTGAAAACTTTGAATAAACTTGGGGACCAAAATGTAAATTACTATAGAAAAGTTAACAAGTGAGCAGTTAGATTTAAAGACCAGGGAGCAAAATTGAAATATTGAACAAACTTGGGGACCAAAATGTCAATTACTGTAGAAAAAGTTAACAAGTGAGTAGTTAGATTTAAAGACCAGGGACCAAAGCTGAAAATTTTAACAAACATGGGGACCAAAATGTAAATTACTATAGAAAAAGTTAAAAAAGCGAGTAGTTAGTTTTAAGACCAGGGACCAAAACTGAAAATTTTGAACAAACTTGGGGACCAAAATGTAAATTACTATAGAAAAAGTTAAAAAAACAAGTAGTTAGATTTAAGACTTGGGACCAAAACTGAAACTTTTAACAAACTCGGGGACCAAAAATGTAAATTACTCTTAATATAGCAAAGAAGTGAGTAGTTAGATTTAACAACCATGGACCAAAATCGATATGAAACATCAAAATAACAACCAAAATTGCAAAACCGATTCCATTAGGGACCAAAATAGAAAATAATTTTAAACCCAGGGACCAAAAATGTAATTTATATAATTGTGAATTGTTGGTGTGGATTTTGTTAAAATGGATTTAGGATTTGAGGAATCCGAGATCAAGAACGATCGATGCAATTCTTTTTTTACAAGAGAAAGCGAGTGATTACTCTGAGAAAGGAATTGTTACTACTAGATTACTTTTGCCATCTAGTAAGGTTGGTTGCATTCTTGGGCAAGGTGGACATGTGATTAATGAAATGAGAAGGAGAACAAAAGCAGATATTCGTGTTTACTCCAAACAAGAAAAACCTAAGTGTGCTAGTAGAGATGAAGAGCTTGTACAGGTGACGTATTATGTTGCTTTCACTTTAAGGTGGTGTTTGTATGATGGAATGTAATCACTCATTTCATTCCCTTGCTTATTCCATTCCATTCAGGTGTCTGGAATTTATGGTACGGTTAAAGATGCCGTAGGTGAGATTGCATCAAGATATCGAGAAAGATGTCTTCGTGATGCAAAGCCTGAAGCAGAATCATCTCCTCATCGTGGTCGCTTAGCTGGCTATGAACCTTTTACGGTTAGTCAAACTAGTCAAACTATTACGAGTTTTGTTTTTATATTTTTATTTTTGTGATTGTTATTTTGTTATTGTGTTATAGGGTAGTGGAAGGGTGTATGATGAACCACGTAGCTATCCACCTCCTACAAGGGACTATGAACTTTATAGTCACTTAGCTCCTCATAGGGACTATGAGCCTTATAGCCATCAAGCTCTTGTAAGGGATTATGAAGGTGGTGGATATAGGGCTCCTATTAGGGAGTATGAATCTAATGACTATGTTGCCCCTCGTGTGGATTACCCTTCTCCTCTAAGGGACTATGAGTATGAACCTCAGGGTTACCAAAGGTAATATACTATGACATTACTCATGAGAACATTATCTTTTGGTATTTTTTTGTCTTTATTTATATGTTGATATATTTTGTTCTATGTTTTACATTAGATTCTTACGTGGTGTGGATATGAAGATGTCGAGTAGCGGTAGAGGTTTTTCTATTGGGAATGCTAGTGAGGTTAGTATTTTGACTTTTCAGTTTATTTTCTATCAAGTTAGACTAATAATTGTGAAGGTGGAATGATACTATTTAAAATGATCGTATCAACTTATTAAAAAAAAGATATTATATAGGAAATATACTTGATTTGATTCCGAAAGGGTTTCTCTACTTTAGGGAATAATTCCTAACCAAAAGAACATCCTAAATGAATTGCTAATTAAGGAATAAATCATAGTAATAATCTAAACAAGTTTTTATTATCTTAGTAAAGGAAACTAGAGCAAATGGGAAACCTTTCTTCTTGATACATAGTGTATCAACATGTTTCTGATTTTCAACTATTGATGGATCCAACAGAGTTCAAGTATCTCTTATTTTACTTTTAACATTTCGGACAATGCAAGCATGACAAACGACCTTTTATGAAATCGAAGCACAATTAGCATCAAAATCGCATATGGAAATCATGAAAACCTCGATCTACCTCAAGGTCAACAACATCAATTGACATCCCTTTTGATGTTTCCATTTTGTTCTCATTAACCTATGGGGTCTTGCGGATTTTAGGTCAAACCTCTTTAAATTTGTAGCTATATGAACTTTAGTTTCACTAAGAGGGTGTTTAGGATTGCTTTTCAAAATAGCTTATTGACTTATTGACTTTTTTTTGGGTATTGCATAAGTGCTATTCAAAATGGCTTTTTGGCATAACGGAATCCTGACTTTTTAAGTATTTTTGGCTTTTTAACTGAAAATGGCAATACTACCCTTAATGAACTCTTTCACTTTCTTATTCTTTCTTCCTTTCTTTTTCCATGCCCTTCTTAGTCATTTTACTAGTATAAAGCTTTTTTCCACCGCAAAAGCTAATCCATTTTTTTCATTTTCTTTTCTACCATAATAAGTCAATAAACACTTTTGCCCAAAAACACTTTTGAAGTTCAAAAAACAATCTCAAACATCGCTTAGTTATCATGTAGAGTTTAAATACACTTATTGGTTATGATTCTGTACACAAGATTCATTTGAGAGTGCATCAATCGCGGTCTGCAAATTGAAAAAGGGTATCCAATTAATCATAGGAAGATCTGCTATGCTCGCGGTGGAGTCATCTTGAAAAATTGTTAAATATATAGGACTTCATTGCTTTTTATGTGATGTTTACCTCCCTCATCCCATAATTGGAAAAGTTTTTCTTCCTTTTAGCTGTGGGTGATAAAACATTATTTGCACTTGAAGATCGCTTAACACTAAATAAATTGATAAACATGCTTGGAGAGACTATGTTGGAGAAAGTACAACATAAATTCTTTCAAGAATCTTTAAATGAAGAACGACATTCATTCTTGCATAGGATTATCATGGTTAATGCTACGATAACCCTATCGATGTCAATCGCTTTCGGTTCGCATTCGGTCTCTTTGGGTGGTAATGGTGTACGGGGGTTAGCCCATACATAAAGACAATACGACATTAAAATTAGTCCGACTCAACTCAACACAACTCAAGCCGGTTCTCTTTATCGAATGCAAACCAACTATGCAAACCTAGAAGCAATATATAATGGAAAGAAAATCACCCTTACAAATCCTTATGCAATATCCTAGGAAACACGAAAAGGATAATACTATTATATTGGAGGGTACTACCCTTGCAACCTAAGGATAACTACATAACCTTGTTAAAGAAGCAAGAAACCGCACCATCTCATCTATATATAAGAACATCGATACACATTGGTAAGGGCCATAACTTTGGCTAATGGAAGAGGCACATTAAGGATTATGTGTATCGGACAAAAAGTACATGAACCATTGTTAGAGCATAAATTTGAAAAGATGATGGAAAGGATAAGTTTATTGGCTATGATTTAGATAGGATCGATAAAAGAGTCAAGACCTTTAGTTGGATACTCTATCAACCAATTATTTGCTATGGATAGATTATCCTAAAGTGTTGAGAACCAAAGACATCTTATAGTGGAAGCATATGTTATGAAGGAAGATATGAGTTTATTTGAAAAGAACCAAGAACTTTTGTCTCACGGGAAAAAACATTATAAAAGAAGTGGGCGTTCAAGAATAACAAGATGACAACAAGAAGTGCAAGGCGAAAGTGGTGCTTAAGGGTTTTCAATTGTAAAGTGGAAGCATATGCTATGAAAAGAGGAGTCGATTATAACAAGATCTTCTCCCCGGTGGTGAAAATGATTGGGTATTTTGGTTGCAGAAGATTTGTATATGGAACAATGAAATATCAAGAAAACATTCATGCATGCACTCCAAGAAGACATCTAGATGCCGCTACAAGACAAGCAATAAGAAAAGTTGGGGTGTAAACAGATGAAAAACATGTATGGGTTAAAGCAGGCACACGTGCAACAATAGTTGCAGTTTGAAAGCTTTATGTAGAGGAATGGGACAATAGGTATAAGAAATGTGGATGTGGAATGGGTCACTTTTGTTTCTCTTTATGTTGATGATATATGTTAAGAATGTTGCATAAAGAAATTCAATTCCTTTTATGTTGATGATATGTTGTTACGTAAAGAAATTCAATCCGTCTTAAATTATAATATTGTCATATCTTTTGGTGATATGTTGGTAGTAGGATCAAACATTTAAAAGATTCAAAGATGAAAGATTTTGAAGCTTTTAAAGAAACAATCACCGTAGACAAATGAAGATTATGAATAGACGACTAAAGTTCCTTATGCATCAATAGTATTTAGTTTAATGTTTGTTATGGTATGCACCAGATAAGATATTGCTCATGCAATGAAAGTTGCTCGTAAGTTCATGTCAAATCCTGAAAAAAGAGCATTGAGATGTAGTCAAGTGGTTGCTATGCTACTTGGAAGCATGGTTGTAGAACTCGTTACTTGGTATCTGTTCGGCCGACTACCGAGTAGCGAGTATTCAGGAGTATTCGGATTCGGTAATTAATGTAAAAATATTGTTAAGGAACCTATATATGTCAAAATCATAAGTTCAAATCTTAAGTTGATTGAAATATATAACAAAATTAGATACATGTGAATACATAAAAAATAAAAAACACATAATGGTCTCACTTCGTGAATAATTACTGAAAATTTAAGATATATAAATGTAGTAATGATGACATGTGTGTGTGTTATATAATAAATCATTAAGTATATTATGCATATTAATCACTGAGTCGATCGAGTTTTACAATACTGCTCAGTTCAGTAAGGGGTTGATCGGAGAGTACCCAAGATTCTGTAACTCGCCTCGGGCCGAGTAGCGAGTACTCGGAGGAGTAATCGGCTAACTCGGCGAGTTTTACAACACTGCTTGGAAGGCACTTCTAAGATTGCTCAACGTTTTAGA